TTTTGTTTTAGTATTTTGAAGTTGACCAATTGTTACTATAAGCAATTAATGATTATAGATGATCTGCACCGTAAGTACTATGAAGATCTAAAAAATTATGCCGAAATGGGCCTTGAGGTTGAAGACAACAGAGTATTCGAACCAATGGAAATTGATTACGCAATTACCAACCTTGCAAATAAATTAGATCAACCTGAGGGATTGTCAAACTCACCGAGTCCATCAATAAACGTGGTCAGAACCCCTAGAGTAAATACTAGACCAATCCAACGTAAATGCAAAATTTGTAAAAAGCTTGGCCACACTTATCGTAGTTGTCCTGTAATTAAGAATATGATTTCTAATTCTAGGAAAAGAACTGGTCGTGTGAATTTCGCCGATGGGTTCTCACAAGATCAATTTGATAATAGCTGTGATACGGAAGAAACCCCTAATGAATCTACTATTTCCGATCAAGAAGATGATGGTGAATTTGATGATAATGCACTTAGTGAAGAATCATATGTTAATGTATCCAGAATTAAAAAAAAATAGATCAACCTAGAGTACTCATTAAGAAAACATCTGATAAAAAATCCCGATCCAAAGACAAGAAAGATGCATATTTTTCAGAGGGTAAGGAGAATTGAACCCCTCTTCAAGTATCGCAAAATCCCACTTCGACTTTACTAGAGAGACGAATGCGTGAAATAATTCAAAGTGAGCTTGTAAATTCCACTTTATTAGAGGAGGCTATAAGTAAAATCTTACGAAATTTTCAGAAATTTAGTACCGCAAATGATACACTCCAAAAAAGCGAGACTGAAGATGAAGAAGTTGTCGAAGGTATGGAAATTAACTTTATCCAGGATAAGGATGTGATAGATATTCCAACTGTTCGGGGTAAAATCAAACATCTAGTACTTTTGGCAATTACAGTCGATCCTGGCTCAAATACTTTACTTATGTCTAGAGACATTGCTGAACGCTTGGGTTTAAAAATCGATAAAAGTACTACTCGTTATTTCAAGAGAGCAACCACTGTTCTGACAAAATCTATTGGAATGGTTTATAATGTACCGTTAACCCTAGCCCCAGATTGTATATTTTATTTAGATTTTGTAGTTATTGGATATGATAAGCCTATGCTGTTATTGAGCAATCCTTTCCTCTACCACACCACAAATATCAAATACTCGGGGAAAAGAATTTACTGAAGATCAATTGCAACGGGAAAGATTTTTACATTCCAGTTACTATGCATAAGTCGAAAATAAGCTTGAGGTACAACATGTTAATGCAATTCCATCTATTTCTGAAGAGACAGATACAGAGTTAAAAAAAAAAGCGTGATTAATCTTAATTTCATTCCAGATACTGAAATCTTAGAGTTCCATTCTAAGGTTTGGGACACACGACAAAACCTCAAAGATGAATTTCTTAGAGTTCTAGATTATGCTGAATATCTTGAAAAGGAATTGATTCAAATTCAGGATTCAGCTTGAAGCTCTTTAGCATATTTTCGCAAATGTGACATTCTGGATTGCACTTCATTTTCTGGCACTGATGAGGTAGACTGATTATTTAAAATAGAATGATGTACGATTTTCGATTCCGATAGATCTCCACCTTTAGATAATTCCGCACTAGAATTGTCCTTCTTTTTTCTGCTAGTCTTTTTTGTCTGCTTATCTGAGGTAACAATAGAGTTCAGTTGCATAACGTTTTCATCCATGCCAATGTTTGGTAAATGAGGTGAATCAGGAAAGTGATCTACTGTATCTGCTAAGCTGTGATTTCCATTCAACACGATTTTCATTAATATGGAAATTCCTTACTAGCACATATTTAGGAACCCTATTTTTGGAATTCCTAATTTCTTCGATTTGCTCAGGTGTTAAAATAGTAGCACCTCGGCGATAATAAGTTTTACTTTGATAAAAGACACTAAATATCGAAATTTAATATTTTACATGGATAAATAGTGTTAAAATCAAAGTTTAGGGAACAATCATCCCTAAAAATCTTATTTTGCAATCCACGCTCTCAAACATAAATACTTTGTAAATAATTGGTTTATAAAAAAAATTTATTCCATTAAATATTCATTTTTGCTTACCACGGTTACTTTAGATGAAGAAAGCATGACAATAAAATCCAGTAACAGTCGATAGTATTCTTGATTTACATAGTGCTCTCAATATAATTCTTAATTACAAATTTATTTAGATAATATTTTTTTGGATAATAATAAAAGAAGATATTAATATGGGTATATTCCGGGTTTGGGTAAAATTTTTAAATTTTTGGGGTATGGGTTTGGGTATAAAATTTTGATATCGTGCAACTTGTATATATTACGAAAACGTCAAGCAGTTTCTCCACAAAACATATCAAATGAGTGTGTAGTTTGTCCAGATGAAGTTGGATGGTTTTGGTTGGATGCCGTTTCTTATAAAAAAGAATGGAACTGATCTATCGGAAGAACAAGTTTCTAATACATGCATTCAAGCAACTGTAGATATTGAAAATGATTTAAAAGGTAGCGAAGATGATAAAAGATATATCATTGAATAGACAAATTTAAACTTATCACCTGAATCAAAAGAAATTTACATTAAAAAAATTAGAGAAAAATCGTGATCATATAATTTTTCTCAAAAGTCCCAATACTATATTTTACCTAAAAATAAATGTGGTTTTTGGTCATCTTTTTAAAAAAAATTTTTATCGGATTTTTTATTATATTATAATTATGACATCATCAAGTTACAAATTAATTTTTTGGGTATATAAAAATCCGAGCATAAAATCCTTTTAAGGAGTGTAACACGATAATAATCAAAGAAACCTTGACAATTTAAGGAAAAAGATTTATCATTCATTATACAGATCTATTGTTAATATTTAACTGTTTATTTTATTTAAAATATAATGTTACGACAGTGAAAATTAAGTGAATTTTTTAACCCACTATTATTAACCCATAATAATAACAATAACCAAATTATATATATGGTTAGGTGTCCATTACGGCGCCCCGCATATAAAACAACCCTATTTTTTAAATAATAACTAGTTTAAATAAATATTAAATGCTTATTAAATTGGATATGGAACTAGTTAATAATTAGACTTTGTAAAACTAATTTTTTGGAATGAATTGTTTCAAAAAAATGATAAGTTAAATAGTAATCACGATAGAAAGTTTTTGGAACCTAACCCGATCTTGTTTCAAGACTTGCTAAACCACAAGATGCTATAAAGCAACAAACAAAAACTTTACAATGAGGATTCAAGAAGTTGGCAAGAAGAAAATATATAAATAAATAAAAAATCCAATAATGAGAAAAGGAAAAAGAAGCATAATTGGAAAAAAAGTTTGGATAAAAATTTATATGGGAATTGTCAAACAAGCACATGGTGCATTCCCAACTTCTTTCAAAAACAACTTGGAAGGTTCTTCTTAACACCTCACATTATAAATTTCGAATCCGTTTATTTTTCAAAGATCAAAAAGTTGCCAAATTTACATCAAACCATCTGAGGCAATAAAAAATAATTGTAAACTCGATGGAAATAGAGATCGTGTGGGAAGTTTCAATGTTTGGTTTACGTTCCATTGCTGAGGGACATATACATGTATATGCATAGTGACACCTCGCATTAACTGGTTGCCCTCCATAAATGCATAAAGAATAATTTAGGAAATTTCATTTCACACAACATCTATGGTTACATACTAAAAAAAAAAATGTTTAAATAGCATACATACACATATTATCAAATTATTTATTAGCATAGATTAGCGATGGGTAATATTTGCTGTTGCGGGAAAGAAGACAAAGAAGACTATATTGATGATGTCATTAAACGACAACCTTCCAAAGACTCGTTGTCATCATCACAAGAATTAAAAAATGATTATAATAATGATAATAATAACCCATCGATAAATCCACCAATGACAATAACGGCAGTAACGGACGATAAAGATACTTACAATGATGAAAGAAAACAAGAGCATGGTATTTGTACAAAGTGTGCCAGATATAATACATCAAAGGCACGATGCAAATCGTGCGATCCAAATCCTGAGGATGTTAATGAAGAACCACTAGGTAGAAAATTAATTAGTCTAAAGTATTTCTTTTGTTTAATAAAATTTATTTATTTATTAAAAATGTTAGTATTTGTTTGGATGTAATTAGAGGATCCTGATAATCAATTTGAAATTGAATTACCTCATGAAAGAGAAGAGGATGAGGAGCCACCAGGTGAGTAGATTATTGAATCACGAAGGAATATATATAATAATAACAATTTTCAAATAAAATGTTTCTTTTTTTTGTATGTAATTTAGAAGATCCTGATCATCAGTTTGAAATGGAATTACCTCATAAAATTGAAAGTGATGATGATGACGGTGATTATGATAAGCCAACAGGTTGATACAAGATTATCTATGTAAATCAGTTTGGTAGTAATTTTAATAAATATTTTTTTAATAAATTAGATGCTGATAAACCTAATGGAGAAGAAGAAGAAGAACCACCAGGTAAATAGATTAAATTGATATAGTAAAGTTATATACTTACAATACAAATAATCATAAATGCGTATATTAGAGGATATTGACGGTCAATTTGGAATGGAATTACCTGATAAGATCGATGAAGAACCACCAGGTGAGTTGACGATATTGATTAATGTATTGAAGTTAAATTAGTTGATGTAATTATTCAATTTATTAATTAAAAATGATATATGTGTGTATGTGCATGTATATACTTGTTATTTTTAGAGGATATTGATGGTCAATTTGGAATGGAATTACCTGATAAGATCGATGAAGAACCACCAGGTGAGTTGATGATATTGATTAATGTATTGAAGTTAAATTAGTTGATGTAATTATTCAATTTATTAATTAAAAAATGATATATGTGTGTGTGTGTGCATGTATATATTTGTTATTTTTAGAGGATATTGACGGTCAATTTGAAATGAAATTACCTGATGATATCAATGATGAACCACCAGGTGAGTTGATAATATATTGAAGTTAAATTGGTTGATGTAATTATTCAATTATTAATTAAAAATAATATACATGTGTGCGTATATGTATGTACTTGTTATTTTTAGAAGATATTGACGGTCAATTTGAAATGAAATTACCTGACAATATCAATGATGATATTAGCAATGATGAGCCAGCAGGTGAGTTGATGATATATTGAAGTTAAATTAGTTGATGTAGTTATTCAATTTATTAATTAAAAATGATATTCTAGAGGATATTGACAATCAATTTGAAATGAAATTACCTGATAATACTAATGATGATATTAATGATGAAGAACCACCAGGTGAGTTGACGATATTGATTTATATATTGAAGTTAAATTGGTTGATGTAATTATTCAATTTATTAATTTAAAATGATATATACGTTATTCCAGAGGATATTGACAATCAATTTGTAATGGAACTACCTGATATTAATGATGATGAACCACCAGGTAAAATAGACCAATTATTTATTTAAAAAGAAATTGATTTTATGGTTTTTTTTTTAATTATAATAATTATAATGTATTTTTTTTTGGGGCATAATTAGAGGATATTGATAATCAATTTTCAATAGAATTACCAACTAATCATGATATTGAAGAACAAGTTGATGAGGATGATAAACCTCCAGGTTGGTAGATAATATACTACTAGTAGTAGTAATAATAGCAATCATATTATTTATTTCAATAACATAACAATGTATTGTCTTCTATATATGTGCTTGTGTTTGTGTAGAGGATATTGATAATCAATTTGACATGGAATTACCTCTTGAAATCAAAAGTAATGATGACGAAAAAAAAGATGATGATGATGATAAACCTCCAGGTAACTGAAACCATTAATTCATGATGATACTTTAATTATAATTATTTATGAAAATAAAAATAACCTCATGAATTTTTTCTTTGTGATATTTATTTAGAGGATATTGATAATCAATTTGAAATTGAATTACCAGACAATGTTTATTATAATAATGAAGAGGAGGAGACAATAACAATAAACTCTGGTAAGTAAATTAATTTAGTTATCATTTTCATTTTAATCAAGAAATAATGTTTTTACATATTATAGATTATATTACAGAGGTTCAAAGTAATCAAACAAATTCAAGTAATCAAGTTGATATTAGAGTCTCAGGTACATTATCTAATACAAATAATAGTAGCAGTAATGATAACAGAAATAATAATATCATTAATTATGAAGGCGATGAACCACCAGGTAATAATAATTTAAATAATTTGCTAAATAGTAATATTTATCACAATTATTAACAATGCTTATCTTTAATAGAGGATATTGATAATCAATTTGAAATGGAATTGCCAATGGAATTATCAGTGGCAACATAATTATTCATTCATTTTAAAACTTTATTTGTTTATCTCTAATTCGTACATTTATATTTTGTATTTTATTATTTATTAATTAATTAATATGTATTTAATTAGATTCAGATAAATTTTAATAATAATAGTTTTTTGGGTTGGGTAAACTCGATAAGTCGGACACAAGTGGCTTGGCATGATGATCTGACTTATCGAAATATGTAAACAAAAAAAGACGTTTAAATTTATTTATTTATTTATTTATTTATTTGTAAAATTAATATAATGATTGAAAAAATAATTATTTAGTAAAATAGATAGAAAAAAAGACACTATTCTTTATCTAAATAATATCCATACTAGTTTATATTAAAGAATTATTTTAAATCTTTTAATCCTGAAACAAAAACTGTTTGATTGTATATCATTATTATGTGTTGCAAGTAATTATATAGATTTTGAATGCTTTTTAAAGCATTTTTATAGACATTGGTGGCCCAAATCTTCTTCCTTTTCTTCGGTGCCTCTTTGAATTGCCGCAATAACTTCGTCATATTTCAGTTCCTAAGTCAGAGTCGATCTCGATGTAACCTCTTGCTGTAATAATAATATCATTATTACTAACATTGATTTGATCAAAAAATAAATCTCAAGTGATGAAATTATAATAACGATATTTGATATTGTTTTCCAGATGCGTAATGAACTTTGTTAGTTAAATAATTTTCAGATTGGTTAAATAGCTGTTAAATAACTGATCGGCAAAGTTTGTTATTTAATCAATTAACAGTTTAAAGTTCAAATAGTTCAAAAAAAGATTTAAATTGCAAACACCGGAAAAAGAGATAAACTATTACCATTCTTTAAAAAACACTTGTGCGAAGGAGGCTCTATACCACAAGCATCTACATTGAGTCAAGTTTACTTGCCTCATGTATTTTGAAAATCATTATGAAAAATTATCAATAATAATAGATGAATGACCGTTCAAGAAGGTTTTTCAGCACACTGTTTTGTTATCGAGGCATCACTAAACTAGTAACTGTTGATTTTTTTTAACAATACAATTGTTCAGGCTTGTGTACTATATTTTGTCATCTCCTGAATCTTTGCGAAGTTTTCATGTAACAAAACCGAAAAAAGTGATTGATTACATAAAATTATCTGCAAACACATCGTTTTAATAAAACAGTTTTGAAGTTAACATAATTTTCACGCGTACATATATAAATTCTAATTTTAAAAATTTTTTTTTACCCATTCGGTTTTTAAATCTAAATAATGTTATACATGATCAAATAATTCCTCACATTATTGTTAAACTAAAATACCAAGTTATATTTTAACCAATTATTTTTCGGAAATGCCAAAATGAGAACTTCTTTTTTTTTTCTTTGGTCATATGTTACTGGTTTATTTTGCATAAGGAAATTTGCATGCTCATACAATGAAGAACGCGAGACTACATACAAATAGAAAGATATGCATTAAAAAAGTTAAAATAAAAGACGCGATTTTTGCAAAATAAATTTTACCTTAAATTCCAACATCGATTCAATTATATTTTATCAACTAAATATATCCGTCAACCCAATGTGTTGAATATAGAAAAAAATTCTTTTCTAAATAAAAAAGATATAAAGATTAAGAAAAGTACAATCAAATCACGTTATAATATTTAATTCTTACTATATACAAGTAGTCCAAATGTCTCTATCTGTTCAAGATCTTTTTTTTCAATTCCTTTTACCGCTAAAAATTGTCGCAATTTATAAATGATTAAATGCATCGCTGTTAAATTAAACACAAACAAAAAATTAACACGGCTTCCATTATACACTTTTACCTTTTAGATTTTTTCACTCTTTTAGAATCGTCGTGATAACACGGGTTATCTCTCACTTGATTCTAATATAATGATCGACATACAGTTCATCGACAATCACAGTTCATATGATTTTAGCGTAACATACGCATTGATTATAATTATTAATATAATTTGTCTAGTTGTTAATCCTGATTGAGTCTAGGAATCATGATTTCAGAAGCATCAGGGAATTTAGATAAAAAGAAAATTTGGATGGCCGAATTTCATGCATCTTGAAAAGAATTATCATCAGAAAAATAAATATCTCCTGAGTTTTGATTCAAACGAAATGTCAATTTTTCTGATCCACACTATAATTATTATCAATTATTATAATCACTAAAATAGTCAGTGATAATATCAACTCATGTTAAACTAACTGTCAGTGAAGTGTTTGTCGATGAAATAATTGTCGACGAAGTAAACGTGACCGCGGCAAATGCTACTTTTGTAGGCAAAAATATTGTAATTAAACATTCTCTATGCTTCTAAGTAGATAAATTCTCTTATTTCCGCTCTTTTAATGCAATTTTTTTATGTGTCAACAACTTTTTTTGTTATCAAGTAATGGCTTCTTAAAGAACCCTACATCTTTTGACTTTGGAAACATCATTCTTTTCGGAAGGTTTTATAAAGATCACGACTTTTAAAAAATCTTTAGATAACAATAATTTTCAAAGAATTTATCATAATATTAATGCCTTTTGTAGCTTAGCAGAAGCAATCAATTTACTAAATCAAGGTGATGATTGTAATATTGATAGCGATGAGGAAAATTGCTGGAACTGGAACACTGGAACAAAATTTCCTACTGGAACAGGAAATTTCCAACACTGGATGAGAATGGTAAATCTAAGAATTCCTTGATGTTTCAAAAGAAATATGCATTAAAATATAGGTTTTAACATATTCTATAATTGTCCTCATTGTTATAATTAGCTAATCAATAACAAGCCATATAGAATTAAAAAGTGGAAACAAATAAAAAAAATAAAATTAACTGAATGATATAACTTTGAACATGAAGTGGACACTTTGATGGAATTTTCTCAAGTGGTATGGTGCCGATCATTTAGAGTCATCAACAATTATAGCATAACTTCTAACTCAGGGTTGGGATTCGTACACGTATCGTACACGTACGTATGAGCTTAAAAATTTTTTAGTACATTGTACGAACATATCATGTGATTTTTGATAATTTTTATTGGTTGATAAAATGAAATATATATATGTTAAATTCGTCAAACCTCGTCACAGAGAACTATAATTAGAGATGTGCCATTCATAGTAACCCTGATTTTTTTTCGTGCACTGTGCGCATAGTGCACATAATGCATATAGTGTATTAGTATTATCCCTTAAACGGTTTTTCGACTATTGATAACCGAAAATTTTTTTCTATTATAAAAAAACTTTTTCTGAAGGTATTACTTCCTAATACGAAAATGATCTTTGGGATTCAGCTGTTTGATATGTGAATAAAAATTCGGTTGTTGTCCTTGTGGTTTTCGTAAAATCCCGCCACCCATTACCTCCAATTATTCTTTCGGCGAGTAAGACGCTTATGAAAGCCCTCTAATTGGAAGTGGTGTGTGATAGCTGAATTACAGAAAAACGGCTTCTTTAAAAGTTGGTCGATTGACTATTTTTACTTTGCAGATCGTTAAATTGGCCAATAAGAATGCAAGATCGTGATCAAAAAATCATTTCGCGTTACCATTAAAGAATACTTTGACCGTTTAAGAGATAGTAATAGTAATAGCACACAGAGAATTGTCACAAATGCGCAATAATGTTGGCCCTTAAAAAATCAAATAGCATATTTATATATATATTCTTTAACTAGAAATATTTATTAATTAATGTCTACAAAAATACTTATATTTATTAATAATTGACATTAAAAATAATATCATAATTTCAAGAATGTTATACTTATTGAATTAAAAATATAACTATATGTATATTAAGAAAAAAACCTCAATATTTAAGTAAGGAAAAAGTCTTAACAACTAAAACAATATATATTTACACTATTTTATAATTGACCATTATGTATTAATATGGAGAAACTTGTACATGCATGCTATGTAATACAACATGAGAACTATGCGCGCACACACTGTGCGTGGCGCATCTCTAGCTGAAACCTTTGAAATGGCATATTTTTAAAGAAGGAGCTTTGTATGCTTATTTTGCAAATCAAATTAATGACACCTGGAAATGTAGCCCAAAATGACCATAGGGATAAATTACTTTGATAACCAACTTTCTGGATGATAAATTCAAACCAACTAGAGGATGCGTGGGGGCTTGTTTTTATCGATGTGATCAACCAGCTATTCCAATAGAAGTTGTCTCCTTCAGGACAACGATAGTAATAATAATTATAATAGCAATAAGCCCGATCATAGATTTACAAACAACAGCATTAATAGTTACGGTAGTCACAATAATAATATAACAGCCATGTGCAAAATGTCTCAAAAACTATAATAATAGTACAATATTCAAAGACACGTATATATTTTTTTTATCATTTTGTGAATAAGATTGTTTACAATTTTATTATAATTTTGGCTAAAAACATTTTTTTAAGTTTTCTAAAAAGAACGTACAATGCTTATATTACCAAATGATAATGGCAAGTCACAACACTAATAATAGTAAAATGTCCAATCCAAGACCGCCGAACCATAACAAGGTTGGGCGACGAAAATATTTTAGAGTTAAAAAATATTTCGTCAAACGGGGCACATGGTGACGAAATGTGACAAAAGTGATGAGGGCAAAAGTCAAAATCGATTGAATATTTTCTTTGGTCAGTTAGAACAGTGCCTTCATAAAAGTTTGACAAAAGAGCTTGAGAATTTCATTGTTTTGTTGATTGTTAATTTCATCCAAATAAAAACGAAAAATAGAATAATGACATCCAGGACATTCATTAGCTAAATGTACCTTGGGTTTAAAATGCGTTCCAGATTTTTGGAGAATTTTTTGCGAGATGCTGAGTAATGTCCTTTTACTTTTTTCATACACCAGATACAGGACGTCCTGGAGCTAATTCTTGATTATTGTTAAATGAACTTTCAGATATATTATCTAAATTTAATATTTGTAAATTCGCGTTATATGAGAAGTAATTGGTGAATTAGAATTTGACATCATGAATTTTATTTTTTTAATTTGCTCCTTGAACAAAAATGTAAATAATTTAAAATAATTGATTTCGTCATTTTCATCATTTTCGTCAAATTCCTCAAATTCCTCAAAATGTAAAATTCCTATTTTGTCCCATTTATTTTAGTCGTGCGACAAAAAAAAAGAGAGATTTCGTCATCCAAACTCGAACCATAATGATAATAGTAGTAATAATAACAACAATAATATCATCAGAGAAACTCATTCAACGCTAGCAGATATGGCATCCAATATAACCATTTGCCTAATGAACTAAGCGGAAAAAAGAATAAGAATTAAGGTTTCATCAGCTGAATTCTATTCCAAAGACAAGATTGGAACTGATCAACAGACTGAATCAACATCAAACATGCCACCAATCAATTCCATTCCGAGTTAATAACCTTGATAGAAGAAAAAAAGATATCGAAATAAAAACAGATAAAAAAAACCATTAATATCTGCATTAACATCACCATACTTTATTGTTACTGATTTACCAAAACTAAATGCAGACGTTACCTTCGAGCAACTATAACATGCTGTGTATCCGGGCTAAGCTTGAACTTTCTCATCACCTTAATGCTGAAATGATTCGGGTTACTGCCATGTATTTTAATACAACTATCAAAAGGAAAATAATACCAATTACACTAGACAGTCATAAGAATTGAGAATTAAGTTTGGAAAACCGCTCGCAGTGATAAATCTCAATGTAGACAGGAGGAGATAACAATCAATGTCAATAAATATCCATATGAAAATGGAACAATTATTGGAAAGGTTTATGAATTACAAATCTGTATTTCAGAAAAAAGGAAGATGCCTGGTAATAAAGGAGAAGAAGGGACCAGTTCGTTGTAATATGAACCGTGAAGAAGACAAATTAATGGAAGCACTCTTAAATCTTCAAAATAGAGATAGGTGATGTGGGAGTCAATTGGTCAGAATTAGAATCCTACGTAACAATAATAAGTGTCAATGGATAAAAATAAAGAAACGAGACCAAGTAAAATAATTGCACGAAATATCACAAGGATACACCATAGAGAAAAATATGAAGCCACTGTATTTATTTTTCAAATCGATAGACTATTCATTCAAAAGCAAGCGTCACAATTGAACCTAAGTCTGATAGAAAGATCAATCGTTTGATAGACTAACTCTCATAACCTTGTGTTTCGATTATAAATTAATCATAATTATTAAATAAAACCAAAAAAAAATCTTTTTTTGCCAAAATCTAAGCTACATATTAATATGGTATAAATTGGAACGTGCATTCCGATTCTTTTGTTTATATAAATTATTTATTTTTGTATTAATAAATAAAATAAACTTATTGTGATTACAAAATTATAAACGTTCAGTTCGTTTGTCAAACTGATGGTTTATAAACTGAATCACACCGTTTCCATCCCTAATTGTGGTCAATATCTTTAGTTCAAGTTCTACAGTCCAATCTCGTTCAACGAATTTATGGGACAGACACATAAGAAAATTGCATTTAATATTCGTTATACCAAAATTTTATGTGAATCAAAAATTTAGTTGAAAGAGGTCTATATATTTAATATTAATATTCCTTGATTGTTGAGAATGTCATGTGAGACAGTAATAATCTAGATTTGAAGAATGAAGCGTAATTCTAGTGATTTAGCTTTTTATGTTTTTAAATAGTTTGTAATTAATGTTTTTGAAAACTTCTGCGGCAATTCCAACTTTACTTTTTTCCTTTGACATAGCATCCTCCCTCCATATAAACAACTTCATTTTCACCCACCATGCATGGTCTTATCAATAAAGTATCTAATTTGACACGTTTTGCAGCAGGAATGAATTGGTGTCTTTCAACTCTTTATTGTTCCATCTTCTTGCAGCCAATGCATGCACCAGTCATCCCTAAGATCTGATATGCTAGAAAATGACAATTGTATAATTTTCTGATGATTGGTGTAGCCATTTTCAGATAATCATCCTTATGGGCTATTCTGATATATATTAGGCTCCCATTCAAAAGCTGGCGAGGAAATAGTACCATTAATGTGGATAACATTTTAAATTCATGAAACTGATGCTAATACCTAAACTCTAAACTTTTTGCTAAATTGGATGATCTGATAAGATGATAAGAATTACAATTTTGGTAAGAACTATATTTTTAGTATGTTTGGCCAATCATTAATAACAACCTTTTGATTTTAAAAACAAAACAAAATCTATTTCCTTTATTTAATATTAAAAATTAAGCAAATCGGAATTCGCATCCGAATACAATTATTCGATTTTGATTTTTTTGAATTCATCTAATAATTCCTTAAAATTACTATTCACGTTTTTTTTTTCGATTTATTCAAATTTCTTTTTGATTTGATTCGCACACCACCATTTAACAATTTCTTCATACTTTTTTCAATTTCTTCAATTTTCTCTTTGACTTGATCCTGATTCAACAATTCAAACCTATTATTGATATTTTCTTCGACTTTTTCAATTTTATCTATGACTTGGTCCTAATCGCATTTTTCAGGAGCTTCAACAAGGTCTCTGACTTTCTCAGAAATAAACGTTTCGTGTTCTGAATCATCAATTTCTTTAATTTTTTTCTGAATATCTTCAATTGGAACTGAATAACATCTAATAAAACAAAAAAATTAAATTATTTTTCAAGAAAATTTAAAGATAAATTATATTTATATATAAATTTGTACTATATTTACAAAATATCTGGGAACCAATCTCTCCATCTCCGTTGATTGGGAAATAAATAAAATAATTCAATCTCTCTGATAACCTTTGCTCTCTCAGA